TGCCTTGAACTCACCCGTGCCTGGCTCTCTCTTACCAGACAGCAGCCCTCTCTGAAACTTTAGTGATGCCTCGTAAATCTTGGCCTTCCCTGGCCAGATAACGACCCTCTCTGAGGCTCTAATGACCTTCATAAATTCTGATGTTGGGGCCAGCGAAAGTGTAAACTAGCCTTTGTGTTATGCTCCTCAGAGTTTTGTTATCTTAACCCCGCTTTGTGTAACTTTCTGGGCTATAAAGCTGGGCTGCAGGAAAGATGCAGGGCTGTCTAGTTCCCGTAGTTTTTGTTGGGAGAGGCAGCCTGGCTGGTTGAAATAATAAGCTTGCTTTAATTTGATTTTAATTGGAGTCAGTGGTCTTTCCTTGCATCCTGGTCTAACAGTAACTCCAAGGAAAAGACAGGGACAAAAGACATTTCGGTGAAAGATAAGACAGTAAAACATATTTCTAAGTGTCATGACTTTTCATATAAAACATTTCAGACAACCCCTCCTTTGGAACACTAAAGAGTTTAAAGTACATTTTAAATGGCTGGAAACCACCAGAACCACAGGGTAAGAGTCCGGGCTAAGGGGAGATTTGAATGAGGCAAAGACGTGAGGTGGAGTTTGCTGGAGCCCTTCCCTGAGGCAGCTGTGAGCTCCTAAGGCAGACACTGGATGCTGAGAGCAATGGGCATTCGGGGCCTGGGGGTAAGGGATTGGCATTGTGGGTCACAAGTTTGGGGGGCAGAATCCTAGAAGAGGCAGAGGAAGGGAAGGAGACTGTTACGGAGCAGACCACTCAGAAAACATGCCAAGTCCATTTTGTTCAAATTGGAGAGTCTTTATTTAGCCAGCCGACGGACAGGAAAGTGAGGAACCAGGAGATGAGTGAGCGAGGAATGAACGACGCAGACCAGGCAGAGATACACACGGGGGTGTATTAGTCAGAGCTCACAAACAGGCACACCTCTCCATAGACGGAGAGAGGCAAAACAGGCTTGGGTTTGGGACTTTTATGGGGCAGGCTCAGGGATTAGAGCCAGGCAGGTCCTAAGGGTGGGGTTGGGATGAGGGAGAGGTGAGCCTTTCTCAGAAATGCCCTTGGGTGGGAAAGCAAAATTTTTCTTACAATGGCGGCTGTCACTTAAGATGGCCGTCAAGATGCCTAAGCAAGGACCTTACATTTTCCTCTTTTCTGTTTGTTATTGGGCCCCTAAAGGGACAGGGGGCAAAGATCAATCTTCTGTAGCTTCTTCCTGCTGGGAAGAGGTGGACTCTGGACACTTGTTAGGGACTCAGAGTGTCATTGAGGCAATGGAGAGGGTCAGGGGGTGCCAGGCATGCTGACTCCAGACGGCCCAAGCTTGGTGAGGGGTTGGAAGCCCTGTGACAGCAGCTGGTTCACGGTTTGGTTAGAGATCCTTTGCATCTAGGCTTGAAGAAATGGTGCAGGGGGCAAGCATTAGCAGAAGGCCTGTGGCAAGGAGAGAGGTCAGGAAAGGAAGTGCCACTGGAGAAGGGGTTCCTTAGCTGCCGTCCTCAGTTCCAGTGCCAGAGGGAAGCTCTGAGGCCTAAGGAGATCGGAGGTAAAGGGGCATTAGTAATGAAGTTCCCTTGGTGGTAAGGAATCCGCGCTCCTTCCAGATAGCAGAGTGGGAGAGAAGCATGTGGACGGGGTATTGGGAGTCAGTGTAGACATGGAGGGAGGCTCCCTTTGCCTCAGTGAAGGCTCTGGTGAGGGCGACCAGTTCAGCCTGCTGAGTGGAGGGTTACTGGGGAGGGGAGCTGCTTCCACAACGGAGGCTAGGGAGACTGTAGCAGACCCTGCCCCACAGACTCCCTCCTGAAGGAAGGAGGAGCCATCTGTGAACCATGCGTGTGTGGCCCCAAGCAGGGGCCTTCCTGTGTGTGGGAGAAGCTCCTCCAGAGTTTCAATGCATGAATGGGTAAGAGAAGGAGAGGTGGGAGTCCTGAGCAGCGGGGAGGAGAGTAGCAGGGTTTAAAGGTGGACAGTAAGACTGGGATCTTCCACCAGGGAAACCCGTAGAGATAAAAGGCCACAGTAGGTAAGGAATGCAAGCCCGTGTAGGTGAGGAGTTTCTTTAGGTGCTGGGGAGCCAGGATGTTGAGTGGGGCCCCAGAGGTGAGTTTCTTTTACTCATTAATGAGTAGAAAGGCTGCAGCCAACAGTCATAGGCAAGGGGCCCATCCCGAAAGGGTCAAGACCCTTCAGTAGATAAGCTACAGGGGCAAAGGTTGGCCCCAGCATGTGTCTGAGGACACCTAAGAGCAAATCCCTGCTTTTCAGCTGCATAAAGGTGAAATAGGTGTGTGAGGTCAGGGAGATAGAGATAGGCCCCTAGTTCCTTAATCAAACTCCTATAGTGCAGGAATTAAAATAAAGAATTAATAAATGGATGGATTCAAACTGTAAAGCTTCTTCTCATCAAAAGAAACAATCAGTGAGGTGAATAGAGAGCCTATAGTTTGGAGGCAAATTTTTACCCCTCATACATCAGATAGAGCACTAATCTCTAGGGTATATAAAGAACTCAAAAAGGTAAACTCCAAAAAAACACATAACCCAATCAATAAATGGGCCAAGGAACTGAACAAAGACTTGTCAGAAGGTGATATACAAATATATAAAAAAATGTTCAACATCTCTAGCAATTGGAGAAATGCAAATCAAAACCACTCTAAGATTTCATCTCACTCCAGTCAGAATGGCAGCTGTTAAGAATACAAACAACAATAAGTGTTGGCGAGGATGTGGGGGAAAATGCACACTCATACACTGCTGGTGGGACTGCAAAATGGTGCAGCCAATATGGAAAGCAGTATGGAGATTCCTTGGAAAACTTGGAATGGAACCACCATTTGATCCAGCTATCCCTCTCCTCGTTCTATACCCAAAGAACTTAAAAAGAGCATACTACAGGGACACAGCCACATCAGTGTTTATAGCAGCACAATTCACAATAACTGTGGAACCAACCTAGGTGCCCTTCAGTAGTTTAATGGATAAAGAAACTGTGGCATATATACACGATGGAATATTACTCAGGAATAGCAGAGAATGAAATCATGGCATTTGCAGGTAAATGGATGGAGTTGGAGAAGATAATGCTAAGCAAAGTTATCCAATCCCAAAACACAAAATGCCAAATGTTTTCTCTGATATAAGGAGGCTGATTCATAGTGGGGTAGGGAGGGGGAGCATGGGAGGAATAGATGAACTCTAGATATGCAGAAGGGTGGGAGGGGTGGGAGGGGCCAGGGGGTTAGCAAGGACAGTGGAATGAGATGGACACCATCACCCTAAGTACATGTATGAAGACATGAATGGTGTGACTCTACCTTGTGTACAACCAGAGATATGAAAAATCGTGCTCTATATGTGTAATATGAACTATAATGCATTCTGCTGTCATATATTACAAATTAGAATTTTTTAATATGTATTTTCTTTTTAAAATATCTTTATTTTATTTTTATGTGATGCCGAGAATTGAACCCAGTGCCTCACACATGCTGGGTGAGCACGCTACCACTTGAGCCACATCTCCAGCCCACAAATTAGAATTTAAAAACATAAAGCCCACCAGCACATGCATACGCTGTGGGGTCAGCGTGACTGGCCACAGATGAGACTCTGCACCCTGGGATTTCCTCAGGCTGGTGCTCACTTTAAGTGTGTCACAAATAGAGTTCTAAGGATGTTTGTAAGAAACCAATGTAGGAAGGAGTGCAAAGGGACCTGACCTAATACCTGCCTGATTCAGTGGCACAGTGATCGGCCAAGAACGTGGAGCACAGCAGGGGGGCCAGGTGCCTTGGGCGGGAGAGCAGGAGGGTGGGCAGGCACGAGAGCTGGCGGGAGACCTCAGCACATGGGGCAGCTGCTCTGCTCCTGGTGACTCTCCAACACTCCTGTTTGCCCTTTGGGACTTGGAGGGACTTCTAGCCCTATGGTGAGGGTGAATTGGACAAGATAAGAGGCAGAGCTCCCAGTAGACCCCAAGCCCCAGCCCTGCAGAGGTCAGAACTTCTTAATTGGCCACCTGAGGCCCCGCGTCCCAGCCCTGCCAGGGGCAGTGTACCTGAGACAGTGCCAACACACCACTGGGGACATGGAGGAGGGACCTCCCCTGCCTCTTCACAAGGACCAGGAGCCGCTGCAGGCAGAATCTGGACCTCAGACCCTCACTGGACCCAGGTAGCCGCAGCTGCCCTGCCACGTCCCTCGACTGCCTGAGGCCAGAGATGAGCTGTGTCCAGTCCTGTGTGCTGTTGACAGGAGGCAGTGCTGGAGTGGGGTGTGCACTGACTGGGGCCTCAGAGACGGACCCCAGCAGCACCTGAGCTCTGAGCACTGCCTGGGCTCCGGGGACTGCAGCAGGGCCTTTCACAGTCCAGGAGCAGGAAGCCCCTGTCACCTGAGGGTCAGAGAGCTCCAAACAGGAACACTGGAGACTTTCTCAGTGCTGCCAAGGTGGGTGCAGGGTCCTGCAGGGGCACACACAGGGGCTCCACGCCAGCCTGGGCAGGGTGCACTCCTGCTCTGTGCCTAGGACGCAGATGGAGTGACCACCTGTGGAAGACCTGTGCTCCAGGGCCCATGTCCTGATTGGTGAGTTAGAAAGCTTTGGGGCGTGCAGGATGGACACAGGAGCCAGGGGTGCAGGGGCATCACTCAGGGCATCCTTGGTGGGTGGGAGCGGCAGGCTGAAGCTTCCTGCACTGAGAGTCACTCAGCTCTGGATGCCTGCTGGCAACCACAGAGCAGGGTTCTGTGTCCTGCACAGGACAGGCTCAGCACATGCTCGAGGATCAAGTGCATCAGAGGACATGACCTTTTCAGCCTAGGGCCAGCTCATCAGAAGGAGAACAGGTCTGCTGGTGCCTGTGGCAGGTGTGAGCGTGGCACAAGTGATCCCTGTGCACCACGGTGATGTGACTGGGAGACCTTGGCCCAGCTCCACTGTCCTCTCTGCCTGCTGTCCCAGCGCAGGGCCATGCCGACCCTCAGAAACGGAACCCTCTCAGCACTGCCCTGGCGGGAGTTTGTGCTGGAGGGCTTTAGAGGAGGGGTGGAGGTTCAAGCTCTGCTCTTTGCTGTCTTCCTGGCCCTCTATGTGCTGACCGTCCTGGGCAATGTCACCAAGATCGTGGTCATCACCCGGGATGCCCGCCTGCACTCCCCCATGTACTTCTTCCTCAAGAACCTGTCCTTCCTGGACCTCTGCTACTCCTCCGTCATCGCCCCCAATGCCCTGGCCAACTTCCTCTCCTCCAAGGCCATCAGCTTTAGGGGATGTGCCACCCAGCTGTTCTTCTTCTCCTTACTGGCTACCACTGAGGCTTTCCTCTTGGCTGTGATGGCCTATGACCGCTTCTTGGCCATCTGCAGCCCCCTGCAGTACCCTGTGACCATGTGCCCTGCTACGTGTGTCCGCCTGGTGCTCGGAGCCTACTGTGGAGGCTGCCTCAACTCCATCATAGAGACCAGCCTCACCTTCCAGCTGCCCTTCTGCAGCTCCAACCGCGTAGACCACTTCTTCTGTGACGTGCCCCCCCTGCTCCGGCTGGCCTGTGCCAACACGGCTGTCAACCAGCTGGTCATGTTCGGCCTCTGTGGGCTCATCATTGTGGGCACCACTCTCGTGGTCCTGGTCTCCTATGGCTACATCGCAGTGACCATCCTCAGGATGCGCTCAGGATCTGGGCGGCACAAGCTCTTCTCTACCTGTGGCTCCCACCTGACAGCCGTGTCTCTATTTTATGGAACTGTGTTTGTGATGTACGCCCAGCCAGGAGCCGTGGGGTCCATGGAGCAGGGCAAGGTGGTCTCCGTCTTCTACACCCTGGTCATCCCAGTGCTCAACCCCCTCATCTACAGCCTGTGGAACAAGGACGTGAAGGATGCCCTGAGGAGGCTGGGACAGGTACACAGCCAGGCCGAGGATGGTGTCCCCTGAGACACAGTGTCCAAGGGCCTAGATGGGCGGATCAAAGGGCTCTAGAACTACACTCTGTCCCCTCCACCTTTCCTGCTTCCTCTTCTTTCTTCCTCCTTTGTCCACCCTGCGTCCCGCCCTTCGTCCCAGCACATGGGGACTAGCAGTCGCTAAGCAGGAGAGTGAGTCCTGCCTGCTCTGACCTTCAGAAGTGTCCTGAGCAGGGCTGGGCAAGGCTGCTCCCCTCGATGGGAAACACCTGTGGGCACTTTCCTCGGTGCCTCCACAGGACCCCTTCATGGGGCAAGCAGACCTGGGGGGCGCCTCTGTGGCCACTTGGAGGAGACGAGTCAACATCCCTAGCAACTTTCACAGACAGTCCCTCTCCCCGACAGCCAGGTGGCCACTGCAGGGCCTCCTGCCCGCACCTCTCTCTTTAGGCTCCTGATCCACCCCACTGTCAGAGAGATGGGTTTCAAGTGACTCTCCCAACTCAGGCCAGCTTTCCTTAGGGTGCGCTGCAGTCTGCAGGGCCTGGGCCCACAGAGGCCGGGTCTGCACGGGCTGCCTCTCAAGAAGGAGTGGGCCAGCGTGGTGGCCGTCACACAGGGGCAGGCGTGTGCTCTCATCCACCATGCACAGCTCAGGTAACACCACCCAGCTCACAGACAGACACTGACCCAGTGCCCAGAGTCCACCTGCTCCCTCCCGCGTCCCCTCCCAGACTAAGCCGTGACCAGACTCAGCCACAGTGCCCATGACCCACAGGGACTTCCTAGGTGGAGCCCACGCAGGGGCATCGTCTCTGTGAGCTGAGTCCCTGTGGCCATGTGTCCAGCTCCTGCTGGCCTCCTAGGGCTGCACCAGACGAGGCCGTCCTCTCTGCCCCACTTGGGGACACAGGCTCGTTGCAGGTGTCCTCTTGGATGCTCTGGCGTGGACTCCTCTCTGGGAGCTCGTGGTACTTGGGGGCTGGGGAGGCAGAGCTCAGATGCTGCCAGAGTTAGTTCTGGCCCTTGGGCCCCTGGCTGCGTCCTCGTCTCCCCGCTGGCTGAGGAGGGAGCCTCCTTTCAGACATTCTGACCTTGTGATTGGGGCAGTCTTGCTCCCGGTGCCCCATCCTCCCTGGTGCTCCTCAGCCAGCAGCTGCCTGGCTGCCGTCTGTGCCTCCACCTCACACATGCCTCTTCCTCCCATCCCTGTGCCTCTGTGACCTTTCTTCCTGCAGGTTCTAGGTGTTGGTTTAGGGCCCACCCAGGATATATGACCTCAGGTAACTAATCTATCTGCAAAGGTCCTATCCAGGTTGGGTCACATTCTGAGTTTCCAGGGGACACAACCCATTCAAGTCAGGGATGGCCCAGAAGCTTTGGGGAATTCATATCTTGAATTTGCTCCTGTTGGGCTCTCTGTGTGCCAGGCAAGTCCTGTGCTGATATACTCAGTTCTAACCTGTGGCTACTAAGTCTGATTTCTCTCACCAGTTCCTGAGAGAGTGTGGAGGAATTTCACTCTGACTTGGATGCATGCATGTCATCTTAAACTCCATGTTTTTGCTTTCCGTTTTAAATCTTCATTACTTACATGCAAATTCAAATGTTCATATGATTGGGTTGGATGAAACATTTTCATTATTAAATATCTCTTTATAAATAAAAAATGTATTTTAAAATTGTGCCTGGCATAAAATTTGTATAGCCAAACCACCTCGTGGTACAACTGATTTTGTTCTTGACTTTCATGCTTCCCATAGTCTTAGATTAGAATCACGTCTGTTTCTCGATTTCTGTATCTTTTTCAATAAGTAGATCTACCCTGATTTCATTGAGTGTGGTGCTAACTTGAGGAGGGTTCCAGTGGTCAGAGACAGGATGTTTTACCAGGTAAACTCATAACCCGAATAGATTAACACATCCAAGTTGGTTTGAAGGTCTGATTCTGTACAGTAAATCATATCCATTTCTGGAAGAAGCTCATTGATTTGAAATGGTTCTTAAAAGGGGAAAAAAACAAACTCTTATCCTGTTTTTTCTATCTGAGTGGACCCCAGAGTACATGGTGGCTTGTAAATACAGGTTCTCTGTCCACCCAGGCCCATAGTGAGCCAAAGTTGCTTCTCAAATATAGGTAGTGCTTATCTGTCCGTCAGTTTTCACAATGTACGGCAGCCATGAAGGAATCACAGGATTGCTGAGGACCAATGTTTGGCCAAACCCAGTGAGTGAGGGAACCGGGCAGAGCTCTTCAGTGACTGAGCTGTCGCAGAAGAAGGTGGGGCACCACGTTTCTCTGGAGGGAGGAGTGCCACACCTCCACAGTGTTCTGATGCAGAGTTCAGGCAGTGGCAACCATAAGAGCACGTCATAATGTGACTGGATTCCAGTTGAGCCTCTCGACCCCACCACTGATCAACAAGAGCACACACCTAGAGGGGCATGAGGGCTCACCAGTGGAGGAGGCCGCTCAGCCAAGCCAAGGGGAGTCACAAGGGCCAAGCGCTAGTTAAGAACTCAACATCAACAGCAGCATGACCTCAGGGAGTGAGTGAAGGGCAGCTAGAGATGCAAAGAGAAGTGTCCATGATTCTCTCCTCAGAATGTATTTTGGATATTAATTCAATCGTCGTGTCTAAAAAAAAACACAGTCGTTCCACATATGGGCATTGGACATTTGAATAATGATAGATGTTTGATGATATTATGGAATTAATCTCCTTTACATATGATAATGAGACTGTGCACATGTTTTTGAAAATAAAAATTCTCATATTTTATAGATAACAGCTAAACTATGCACAGAAGATCATATCATATTTGACAGTTGCTCGGGAATACCAGAGGACTGTGGGAGAGGGCAGAGGAAGCAGTGTGCAGCTGACCAGGGGTTGGCGGAGGTTTGACCAAGAGACACACAGGAGGTGAGGGAGAGGGGCTGACCTCACAAAGAGACACACAGGAGGTGAGGGAGAGGGGCTGACCTCACAAAGAGACACACAGGAGCAGGACTGTCTTGACCAAGAGACACACAGGAGGTGAGGGAGAGGGGCTGGCCTGACCAAGAGACACACAGGAGGTGAGGGAGAGGGGCTGACCTGACGAAGAGACAGACAGGAGGTGAGGGAGAGGGACTGACCTGACCTAGAGACACACAGGAGGTGAGGGAGAGGGGCTGACCTGACCAAGAGACACACAGGAGGTGAGGGAGAGGGGCTGACCTCACAAAGAGACACACAGGAGGTGAGGGAGAGTGGCTGACCTGACCAAGAGACAGACAGGAGGTGAGGGAGAGGGACTGACCTGACCTAGAGACACACAGGAGGTGAGGGAGAGGGGCTGACCTGACCAAGAGACACACAGGAGGTGAGGGAGAGGGGCTGACCTGACCAGGAGACACACAGGAGGTGAGGGAGAGGGGCTGTCCTGACCAAGAGACACACAGGAGGTGAGGGAGCAGGACTGTCTTGACCAAGAGACACACAGGAGGTGAGGGAGAGAGACTGACCTGACGAAGAGACACACAGGAGGTGAGGGAGAGGGGCTGACCTGACCAAGAGACACACAGGAGGTGAGGGAGAGGGGATGACCTCACAAAGAGACACACAGGAGGTGAGGGAGAGGGGCTGGCCTTACCAAGAGACAGACAGGAGGTGAGGGAGACGGGCTGACCTGACCAAGAGACACACCGGAGGTGAGGGAGAGGGGCTGACCTGACCAAGAAACACACAGGAGGTGAGGGAGCAGGACTGTCTTGACCAAGAGACACACAGGAGGTGAGGGAGAGGGGCTGACCTGACCAAGAGACACACAGGAGGTGAGGGAGAGGGGCTGACCTGACCAACAGACACACAGGAGGTGAGGGAGAGGGGCTGACCTGACCAACAGACACACAGGAGGTGAGGGAGAGGGGCTGACCTGACCAACAGACACACAGGAGGTGAGGGAGAGGGGCTGACCTGACCAAGAGACACACAGGAGGTGAGGGAGAGGGGCTGACCTGACCAAGAGACACACAGGAGGTGAGGGAGAGGGGCTGACCTGACCAACAGACACACAGGAGGTGAGGGAGAGGGGCTGACCTCACCAAGAGACACACAGGAGGTGAGGGAGAGGGGCTGACCGGACCAACAGACACACAGGAGGTGAGGGAGAGGGACTGACCTCACAAAGAGACACACAGGAGGTGAGGGAGAGGGGCTGGCCTGACCAAGAGACACACAGGAGGTGAGGGAGAGGGGCCGGCCTGACCAAGAGACACACAGGAGGTGAGGGAGAGGGGCTGACCTGACCAACAGACACACAGGAGGTGAGGGAGAGGGGCTGACCTCACAAAGAGACACACAGGAGGTGAGGGAGAGGGACTGACCTGACCAAGAGACACACAGGAGGTGAGGGAGCAGGACAGTCTTGACCAAGAGACACACAGGAGGTGAGGGAGAGGGACTGACCTGACCAAGAGACACACAGGAGGTGAGGGAGAGGGGCTGGCCTGACCAAGAGACACACAGGAGGTGAGGGAGAGGGGCTGACATGACCAAGAGACACACAGGAGGTGAGGGAGAGGGGCTGGCCTGACCTAGAGACACACAGGAGGTGAGGGAGAGGGGCTGACCTGACCTAGAGACACACAGGAGGTGAGGGAGAGGGACTGACCTGACCAAGAGACACACAGGAGGTGAGGGAGCAGGACTGTCTTGACCAAGAGACACACAGGAGGTGAGGGAGAGGGACTGACCTGACCAAGAGACACACAGGAGGTGAGGGAGAGGGACTGACCTGACCAAGAGACACACAGGAGTTGAGTTAGAGGGGCTGACCTCACAAAGAGACACACAGGAGGTGAGGGAGAGGGGCTGACCTGACCAAGAGACACCCAGGAGGTGAGGGAGAGGGGCTGACCTCACAAAGAGACACACAGGAGGTGAGGGAGAGGGGCTGACCTCACAAAGAGACACACAGGGGGTGAGAAAGACGGGCTGACCTGACCAAGAGACACACAGGAGGTGAGGGAGAGGGGCTGACCTGACCAAGAGACACACAGGAGGTGAGGGAGCAGGACTGTCTTGACCAAGAGACACACAGGAGGTGAGGGAGAGGGACTGACCTGACAAAGAGACACACAGGAGGTGAGGGAGAGGGGCTGACCTGACCAAGAGACACACAGGAGGTGAGGGAGAGGGGCTGACCTGACCAAGAGACACACAGGAGGTGAGGGAGAGGGACTGACCTGACCTAGAGACACACAGGAGGTGAGGGAGTGGGGCTGGCCTGACCAAGAGACACACAGGAGGTGAGGGAGAGGGGCTGGCCTGACCAAGAGACACACAGGAGGTGAGGGAGAGGGGCTGACCTGACCAAGAGACACACAGGAGGTGAGGGAGCAGGACTGTCTTGACCAAGAGACACACAGGAGGTGAGGGAGAGGGACTGACCTGACCAAGAGACACACAGGAGGTGAGGGAGAGGGGCTGGCCTGACCAAGAGACACACAGGAGGTGAGGGAG